TATCAAATAAATCTGCTCACCTGCAATTTATAATGGCGCATTGTAGTCACCTTCGTGCACGAAGTTCGTTCAATCTCAGCTACTCAACATTTTCAGTTATTTGCTGTTGAATCGCCGATTTTCAAAATGCAAATGATCTGTTTATTTTCAAAGAATAGTTTGTTTTGTTATTGTTTGGTTGGTGTCATATGAAACTGCGACATTGCGCAATTTATTGGACAGACTTGTTGAAGATCACACAGCGTAATTTGGGTGTTTTATTTCGTATTTTTAAATCATCTTTTTATTTTTGACTATCTGTAAATTTAGTTTCCTGCTCTTAATTGTGAATGCATACTTGATGGTTTTAAATGCTCCTGAAATTAAGTGCTGCTTGACGAGCCTATATTGTGTATGTATGTGACGTCACTGAAGGCCTAAGGTTGAAATGCACGGCCCGCCACTGAGTGTTTGGAACAGTTTTTACTTTCTAATACAACAAAATATATCAGTGAACAACTGTTTTTTTTTCCTGGCATTTTGGCTGGTTATGTTCACTAAAATGGTTACTTATTTATATCCAGAACGAACCAAGGATCTGCTGAGCCCCCCAACTATGATATTGTGTACCCCACTTCGTGCTTCATCCCTTGCAATGTTTAAGTCAAGCCTTTGCCTCTTGTGTGTTTTTTCATTACATCATTTTTTTACATTGACTACACTGATTATAATCCCTCGGGGAGAAATTCAACAGTGATCGATCAGTTATGTTTTGTTATCGGGTAAATAGAGGGCCCCAAAATCCCACATTGCCAGTACTGTATCGGCTCTGTTTGTACCACATGAACTCTAAGCACGTGTTGGGACACTTCCGCCCGTGTCATCAGCAATACTTAAAAACACCTGGCCCAGGGTTCATATCGTATTCTATCCGGCTGTAAAGCGTCTCAAGGAAGGGGTGGATTTTCAATGAAAACGTTTACTGGAATTAAAAAGGGATATATGTGAGTAAGTGTGTGTTTTAATGGAGTGTCTTCGAGGTTCAATAATAATTGCTCGCCTCTGTTCTCAGCTGCTGGAGACGCTTACGTAATGGTCTCTCAAGGCAGCGCAAGCATAAAAACATTCGTTCAGGTGTCTTACCGACTACTATTTCTGAACACGCGCATGTCATGTTATCAAAGCGTTCGTGTGTGATGTTGCGTTTCCGTGTGTGTTTCTTTTCCGCGGCGTTTTGCAACGCGCAAGTAGATAAACAAAGCCACGTGCTGCAGGGAAGTTTCCGAGGTGGGCGGGGTCAACATGCTTCCGGGAGCGTATAAGAAGCTGCGCAATGACAACACAACAGGAACAACAACGTGCCGAAGAACGAGTGTCTCACATAGAGGGATATATATTAACGCGTCCGTGTTTTGTTTGCCCATTTGTTTGTTTGTTTTACCATATATATTCCACCCCAAACAAGTAAAGAATGCCTTTCCTCGGACAGGACTGGAGGTCGCCCGGACAATGTTGGGTTAAAACCGAGGATGGATGGAAAAAGACAGTGGACGACAAAAACATCATCTCCGTGGAGAGGTTTGTCATCAATCTGCCTAACACCGAAACGTCATTACGCTTGAAAAATATGACGGAAATAGTCAGAGGTGACATTTTGAATAAAGTAATACTAAATACACGACCCCCCCCCAAAAAAAAAAACTAAGTTTATGCTTTTGTTCCCATCCCTTTTTTTTGGCTAATCGCTCATCTATTAATAACCGTACAAGTGCGCAGATTAGCGGCGGGTGAGTCACTTTATAAACCGAGTTGACGTTTTGTCACGAACAATTTGTCTTAAACGTGACAACATTCAGAATGCAATCCAGACGTTTTTCTATGTGTAAGTTAGGAATGTTGTCCTAAGACTGAATTGATGTTAACCATGAGGCTATGAGCCTAGTCACATATTTTGCTCAAGTAAACTCAGGCACAAGAAGAGGATACATACACAACCTTCTGCCCCGATTGGGAGAACATATAATATTCTTCTTTTCAGTATACGTCACTGGCATCTCAGATTAAGACAATATTTGTAGTAAATAAGTCATTTTCTGATCAATCAAGTGGCATTCTTGCAATTTCCTGCACCACACCCGTGTTGGGAAACACTGGTGTAATGATGAACATGTCTCCTTCGTTGTTTTGTAGCTTCTGCGAAACCGAGCAGGAGTGTTTCAACAAGGAGAACTTGCTGCTTTCTCTTGGCTATGACATGGCTGCCAAGAAGAGGAAAAAAGACATCATGAACAACAACACCAAGGCCCCATGTGAGTCACTCACCACCATCTGACTGATTGTATCCCGGATTAGTGTCGCTTATTGTTGAATGTGGATTTATTAATGATCTAATTAAAACCTCCAAGATAGCTTCCGATCATAGATTGATGCTTAAAAAGTTTTGGGGGATTTATTTCCCTCGCTGTCCCAAACTCTACTTCAGGCCACTAATACAAACATTGTGCTTTCTGACAGATTTCCACAGGGAAAAGTGGATTTATGTTCATAAAGGAAGCACCAAGGAGGTAATGCATAACCTTCACTACCAAAAACAGTTGTCATTGCTTATGTCAACATACTGAGAGAACTCATTCATCCTGCAGACGATTGTAAACTAATAGAACGTTAATTAAATTCTCTCAGCGCCACGGATATTGCACCCTGGGGGAAGCCTTCAACCGCTTGGATTTCTGCAGCGCCATCAAGGACACAAGGAGGTTCAATTATGTCGTCAGAGTGAGTCCTCCTTCCTTTCTCTCTCTATCTTCTCTCCCTGTGTCATCTTCATTGTTTGTTGATGTTTGGTTTAGCCATGCTGAAGGGGTCACAGTTTCATGAGAGTGTGTTTCACTTATCAATGCTCTGCAGACAGTGCTGATGATTTTGACCATGATAGTGCCTGTTTGCGTGTATGAGTCATAGCAATTGATGCTAATGGTGGATGGATTGATGGATTGTGTGTGTGTGTGTGTGGGAGGGGGGGGGGTGAAATTATGTCTCCCCAAAGCAGGACATCATCAGTAAAGAGTTGGGGCCACTTAACAACAATGCTTTTCGAAAGTGTGTACTGTATACAGTACATTGTTCATTTCAAAGTTATAAAAATAATGATAAAAAAACTACTGCCATACTTCAATTTATTTGTACGATAGATTTTCACGACAAATTGCTACCATTGGTTAACTGTCAAAATGGAGCCATACTGTGAAGAGTTGCATACATTATTTAATAACACGCTGTACCTGAAAATAATGTGGTTATTGCAGTTCGTACAATTCTGAATCTACTTCATTCTTAACAACAAATTTCAAACAATAAATTGCAGAGAAACCTTCACACCATTATTATACAATAGCACCAAATATCCTTTTTGTTCCCCACAAAGCCTCAGCCCACTGATCTAAAAACATTTCCACATGTGAACCCATGTGAGCTGCAGATGGGCTGGTATGGGAAGGCTTAACTGCGCAGTGAGGTGAGACCCCTCCTCAGAGGCCTCATGAAAGTAGACCTGGTGTTAGTCAGGTGATTATGACTCTCCTCCATCCTCATGCACTTTGTGAGTCACACCCTCCGTGTCTTGCCCTTACTGCCAACATTCCCTGTGTTTTCTCTGTCCAAAAATAAATGCATTATTTTGTAATGTATCATAACAATAGTCGCAGGTACTTTACTTGCCATTTTGACTTTCGATCATTAAATGGAGCTTCCTGCAGCTAGGACGTTATGTGTTTCGGAATGACCTTTCAATGTAGCCCCCAGAGCTAACACTTAATGGTCCAGTGCAATAAGCCGGTACAACAATATGTCTGTGTAACACGATCGTCAAGTCTGAACACAGCAGTCTGGGTCACCGCTTTCCTCTGTCTACGCCTGATTACTTAATTTCACTCTGACTCACTTTCATAGATCAGGTTCTTTGCTGAGAGACATTCGGTCGGTCACGTCTTGTGCTGAGAGAGAGGGAGAGAGAATTTTCAAATCACATTTATTTCCTGAGATATCACAGTTGTGACAACATAGGTCAGGCTAAAACATGATTACAGTGTTCCCTCACTTATCGCGCTCAATGGGGACTGGGGCCCTGCCACCATAAGAGAAAAACCGCGATGGCGCGTTGCCCCCCCCTGGAATTTTTGTGTAAGTGTATGTGTTTAAAAGGTGTAAACAGTATTTATACTTTACATATTTGAGACAAAAACTACAGCAGAACACATATTTACTTACATCTTTAATTATAAAACCTTATACAGTAATGCTAACATTCATCAGCATAGCCTTCTGAGAGAGACAAAGAGACTTGTGTTATTGTCACTTTACACTCTGACAGTGTAGCCGTCGTTAGCCTCCAGTTAGCTGCTGGCCAGCAATCCCCGCACAGCCGATGTTTTTATGATAAAACAAATAATCGTTATTGATGAGGGTGAGGCGAAGAGAGACATGCTGCTTTTTTTTTCGGACAAGCCAAATAATCATCCCAATAATCATAGAGGCCGCGCACTTAGCAAACACAACAGCATGGAGAGACACTGATCGGAGAGTCAACAGCTGACGAGACACTGATCAGAGAGTCAACAGCAAATCGCCGACCCTTTTTGTGATCGGTGGTTTATAAAGTGCCCTCCACTCAGGTTTCTGAGCCCCAGTTGAAATGAGATGTGCTCTCAATTGCCACCCAGAGACAAATATTCAGCATTGTTACAATTACTGAGAACATTTTTCAAGGCATCAAAAAAAGTTTCATCTTTCCAGTCCTACACAGGGAGCATAAATACTCATAAACACAATTTTCATTTTTTTCAAATTCTTTGCTGACCTTTAGTCAACCTGGAGTAATGTTTTTGACGGTTGCGCAGCTCGGTAAAAAAAAATCCCCCAAGAAGAGAATACCCACCTCCACTGCTGTTGCTTCTCCCATGACTGATTAAAAAAAATATATATATCTTCGTTCCACTCCCTGTCCCAGTCTGTCTCATGACTGTGCAGTTTCATGTAAGAAAATTACCATTACATTCATGCTCTTAATCAGACTGAACAAAGATGCTCTTTTTCGCATCTTATCTTGCGCCATTGATATCTAAAGATCTTAGTTTCATATCACGTTTTGTGTAGGGTTCTACTCTCGGCCACGTAATATCGTCAAGCAGATGAAAAAAAAAAACATACCAAAAATAGTTATCCATCATGTGCTATTTGTGCTCAAACCTTTAGTAACATTTTCTTGATCCTAAAAATCCCCTTCTCAGTGAAAGAAGCCTGCCCCAAAGTACCGTTAGTTCTCCAAAAGTATCTGACAGCGTCAGGAAACGGTCACAAGTCTGGAAAATATAATCTTATATTATCACAGCCCTTCGACCTTTAGTTTCTGTTCGAAAAGCTCTCACTCTTTGAAAAGAGGAATCACTTTGCGTATCATTCACCATGTTGCCATATTCACAGTCACTCTCCATATCGCTGAGTAAATCACTGCATGTGTCCTGTGTGCGGCATGCACTTTGTGATGTGTGCGAGCTGTGTGTTGTGTGTGTCATGAGTGAGGTAGGTGTCTTGTGAATTGTTTGTCTCCTTGAGAAAAAGGTTTATTTGCTTTTGACTGAGGTGGGGCAATCTGTATTTTTCTAAGCCACACTTGGATTTTTAACACGGTTATCTTTTGCATCAATGTCTTTCCTTTTAACAGCTAACTCGAGCAAATCTTCCTCCACCATATTTATTTACCTCATCCAGGATTGACTCAGCTACCCAAGTAGCGGTGTGTAGAGTCTGCTCTTTTAACCTTTCCCGAGCACTGAGCGCGCCCCGGCACTGAGCAGCGTCAAGCGACTATCTGCGTCCAAACTGTTTTGCATATTTAGTGTGTCATCTCGTGCATCTGATTTGTCATTCTGCGTGTTTGTCCTAACGTTTTGTATGCCCGGTAAAATATTCAAATTGCTCTCTGTTATTTTGCGCGACACTTTGACGAGTACACTGTGTGTCGGAAAGCCAACGTTCATTAAATTTGTTCGGGCATCCAAAACTCTTCAGGATATCGAACGTGACATGAACGGTATAATCAAAATCTTCTATACGGTACTATTCAGCTCCTTGTTTCCCTTTAAAATCATGAAAATCTGTCTCCTGAAGGACATGACGTGTTTCAGCTGTGGTGATTTGCATCCAAGGGGGATCATCTTAGTAGGTGACACTCGTTGCCCATGCCGGGCTAATTCCTTTTGCAATAATTTTCATTTCTCAGGAAATTGAACGGAGTTGGCGGCAGCAGCTGGACAGTAGCCAGCAAAACCTCGAAAAATGATATTTACACTAACCCTGACATTGAAGAAAGAGTAACATCCAATCAAACACTCAATCAGCGTAAACACAAGAGCAAAAGGGGTTGAAAGAACCGAACACACTTCTGCCACAGACTGCACGGGAGGGAGGGGTGAGAGTGTGTGTGAAAGTGAGGGAGGGAGGGAGGGAGGGAGGGAGGGAGGGGGAGGGAGGGAGAGGGATATATAGAGAGAGAGAGAGAGAGAGAGAGAGAGAGAGAGAGAGATTTTCAAACCACATTAAGGTGTAGCTCTACTAGCAAGCGGTCTTTCTAATACCATCTATGTTTGTGTAAAAATGTCAGATGAGCAGCGGGCTATGAAGTGCAGTTTCGTGAGCCTCGGGTGCTTACAGGAGATACGGAAATGCACATTGTTCTGCCCGGCTGCTCTACAAAGCGCGGAGCACTCGTGAGCTGCGAAAAGACCAAGGTCATAGGATTAGGCTGAAGGAATGCAGCTGGAAGGAATGGAAAAAGGAAGAAGGCGCAAGTAAACAAGCGAAGATGCGGGCACAAGGTGTGATGACGAAGAACCACTCCCTACAGTGCTTTATATACAATGTGTTTTCATGTAATTCAGGTCACGCTTAATTCATGAGGGTGGTTTTTGCTTTGCTCCTGGACCTTCTGTCTTTTGTCGTCCAAGGTCAAACATGTTGTTCCATGATGTCACAGCATGTGGCCCATGCCAGCTGGCTTCATAGGCTAATAATGATGACAACAACGCGCACACACACACACACACACACACACACATACATACATACATACATACATACATACATACACATACAGATAAATAGTTCACTAAATTCACTTGAGAGGATCAGCAGGCAAGTGATTAAAGCTTGTTTTGCAAAGCTATCTGGCTTTCTCGGCTGTGGGCCAAATGCTTCCCAGCAGCTTCTTACCCTTGAAAAACACTCAATAAGTTTCAGCCCAGGTGGCCTGCAACCAGACTGTTTTCACCAGGAAGCAAGCAAGCGCGCGCGTGCGTGTGTGCGTGTGTGTGTGTGTGTGTGTGTGTGTGTGTGGATCTTAAGAACTCATCTTTACTTCAGAGATTTGTATAGTATACATACTTCTTAAGTGCCAAATCAGTCTCACAGATGCCAGTATTCAGTTTATGCTCCTTTCCCCTTTCCCCGTCTTTTTTTTTTTTTTTTTTCTGTTAAAGCTGCTGGAGCTTATCGCCAAGTCACAGCTCCCCTCACTCAGCGGCGTGGCTCAGAAGAACTACATGAATATTTTGGAGAGAGTGGTGCAGAAAGGTGAGCCTTGTTAAACTTCTCATCAAATTAATTTAACACAGCGGTTCCCGACCTCTCTTGAGCCAGGGCCCATATTTCACAGAGGAATAATATATGCCACGTTACACCAGTTAGCGAAAACGAGTTACAAAAGTGGTACATGGGTTAATTGTGTTCCTTCAGTCATTTGGTGGAAGAGCATTTGATATTTTTTTGCCTCTTATTATCTGTTGTTGGTATAGATAAATTATCTTTTTTTACTAGAAAATATTATTTGGGTTAGGGTCAAAATAATCTAGATAGGATAATTTCCCGCCGCTCATTTGATAATCTGCCATCGCACACTGGTTGGGAATCACTGATTAAACATACCGCAGGTCTGCATTTAATGGTTTTATTTTTGACCAATGATTTTTTTTGTAACTTCAGATGAGTTAGATCCATGAAAGCAGTGTTTCCCCACCGGGGGGGCGAGCACATGGCAAGGGGTCCGTGGAAACATGAAATAATTTATTTCCAAGAAGTCAACATTTTCAGTTATTTCATAAGCCTGTCAATAAAATGGAATATGTGTGCTGCAATATGTTTCCCTGGGAGACAATAACTCGTGGCGAAGACGTGTTGGGTGAAGTTTCTCATTAAAGCTCAGACGACTGATTTAAAAAGGAAGTAAAACTGCTAAAGTGAGTCTGAATATTATTCTTGGGGTTTTTTTGTTTTTTGTACATGATATTCAGAGTTTAAATGCTTGTTTAAAGTGGATTTATTCAAAGGTGCTGTTTCTTGTGATCGATAGTTATTTAGGAAAAAAGGCAGGTCGATGAGTTATTTTGATTTTATGTTTTTAATTTCCATTACTTATTTTTAACTTTGTTTATTGTTTTGAGTTAAAAAAGTAGATGGTGCATTAAGAATACAAATGATGGTCATTTCACTTTTAACTGCGTCCTCATCGTTTTTTGCCCTCTTTAGTCCATGTTCTCTCTCAGAAGTGGTTTTTGCCTGGCATTTTGTAAAGAACTGAGCCAAGGACGTTTGCTTTTGTCGGCTTTTAACAATCTTTTGAAAATGTCCAAGGCAAACATCAGCACAGTGAGCGATCACCCGACTGGTGAACACTTTTTCTGGATGATTAGCATTTATGTAAAACCATCGGAACACCTCCTGGGCAGCTGATGAGGATGCTGCAGTGACACCTATCTATCTACATACATATAGTAGAAGTCCCTCTTAGCCAATGGGATGCCAGGATGATGCTCGGTAATAGCCAATGGCAGAGCAGCTATAAGTATGTTGCGTTCAAGAAACTCGGAGCTGCGATTAGCAGGACAGACTGTATTTTTACCTTTCGTATCTTTAAATTTCTTTCGTAAAAAGAGGCAATAGTTTCCTGTAATGACGTTTCGTAACTTGAAAATTTCGTTTGAAGAGACGTTCGTAAGTAGAGGTACCACTGTATTTCTGAGGTGCTGAGCAAATGTTTAAATTGTCTTTAGTGAGAAATCTGTCTCTCATCACTCCTGCCGCAGTGCTCGATGACCAGCAGAACGTGCGTCCCATTAAGGAGCTGCTCCAAATGCTCTATCGCTCCCTGTGCAGCCTGGTTCAGGACATGGGCAAGTCAGTGCTTGTGGGGAACATCAACATGTGGGTGCACCGCATGGACAACATCCTGCAGTGGCAGCAGCAGCTAAACAACATTGAGATCAACAGGGTGAGACAGGAAAAATGAACGCACTGCTTTGTATTCCCAGTGGTGATTATGTAAGTAAAAAAAATAAGTAAAAATAAGCACCAAACCTTTTTTTTTTTTTTTAATGGCCCTCCCAGCCAACATCAACGGGCATGACGCTAATGGAGCTGCCCGCCAGCCTGCAGCTGAATATCATGCAGCGACTGTCAGATGGCAGGGACTTGGTCTGCCTGGGCCAAGTCTGTCCAGAATTGGGGGGCCTTGCTGAGGATCGCCTACTCTGGAAAAGACTCTGCCACTACCACTTCACAGACAGACAGGCATGTGCACATTCAGTACATAGGGTCAACCAACTATTTCACTGGGTGCGGAATTTCATCCTAAATCATGAACATTCAGTCACCAGACATTATACTGTACTAGGTACAATATTGCAGATATTCTGCATTTCTAAATACAGAATAACATTGCTTAGCTTTGAAGTCATCATCAGTGTGTTTATTATTGTAGCTGTGGTTCGGCGTTTATCAAGAACTGACTGCAGTTCCTGCACACACCTTCCGACTGACATGTCTGTTTTATCAGTTTGGACGTCGCTGTGTTTTCATAAAAGTCACATGGTGCTTGACCACGAAAGCAACATGAAGAGTTTTCAATGTTTTAGCACTGCATTGCATCATGATGAGAGGTGTTTCTGCTACTTCTGTTGTCCTGTATGATATGTATAATGTAAAAGTGTGTGTGTGTGTGTGTTGGCACTGCAGTGACTTCACACCCTGCTCACACAAATGCACTTGATAAGGCACTGAGCTACTATGTAAAGTGGCTCATAGTGTTTGGCAAAAAAAACAAAAACAAAAATGTGATAGCAGAGCCAGAAACTAAAACCGAACTGCTGTTTTTTTGTTTTGTTGTTGTTTGAGTCATTTCTTAAAAAGGGTTCTCCTTCTATTAGATCCGAAAGCGCCTGATGGTGTCAGACAAAGGTCACCTGGAATGGAAGAAGATGTACTTCAAGCTCAGCCGCTGTTATCCGCGGCGAGAGCAGTACAGCGACACTCTGCACTTCTGCTCACACTGTCACATCCTTTTCTGGAAGGTACACACATTTTGTCTTTTGAGATTACACCTAAAATGTAGGCCTATCGTCTATCAAGTATTTCAAGTGTCGTCGTTTGCCCCCGCAGGACACAAATCATCCCTGCACTGCCAACAACCCAGAAAGCTGCACCATGGCCCTGTCCCCTCAAGACTTCATCAACCTTTTTAAATTCTGATGCCAGCCACACTCCGTGAAATATATTGAAACAAAGTGTACATACTGTATGTAAACATGTGTTTTATTTCATCTAGTCTGGCATGTATATATTCAGATGATGTGACTCGATGGCAGTCAGGCAGTGGGACAAATATGCAATTTGAGATTTAGGTTTCTTTACTGTTTAAAGGTAAGAGGCCGTCGCTTTGAAGTGAGTGAAAGAGAGTTACGTAATGTTGAACAATAATCCTTGTGCAGGAAGTGGGAGCAGTCGAAGTGAGGAAATGCAAAAGTATGAATTTGTTGGTTGTAGTTTATTTCAACAGGCTGTGAATTTGTCGTGGCGAGTACCCTGCGTTGTGGTCGCAGCAATCCTGGCTCAAATCCTGGTCATGGCATGTGCCAAGACCATACTTGACATCTTGCCGTACGATTGGCTGGCAACCGGTTCAGGGTGTCCCTCGCCTCCTGCCCAAAGACAGCTGGGATAGGCACCCCCGCGACCCTTGTGAGGATAAGCGGATTGGAGAATGAATTAATGAATAGTTTATTTCAACACAGGAATTTGGAAGATTAGTCGGGTATGACTCAATCTGTAAACTTATTTGTTTTTGCTAACTGTGACCACATTGGGGGTACAATGTTTAAAACTCACAGGGTATTGTTGGGTTTGGCACTGCTGGTACAAGAGGCTTCAGTACTGAAGAGAAGTCAAATGTAAGCAACTGGGTGTCAGTGCACCCATCGTTTTTGGGTTTTTTTTTTATTTTACTTTTTCACTTTTATAAAGATTTGATACATTTTTTTTAATGTGTTTTATTTTCTGCCGTGGCTGCTATTGCAATTATTTATGGCTGAGATATGTACAATTTGGTGTGCCTTACTTCTTGAAAAAGTTTAAATCAGTGCAGTGGTCATTTTTCCAGATCCTGATTCGGTTTATGAACACAATCAGGTATATTTTTGGATAGCAAAGAGTGTGTGGAACATCTTGTTTTTCTAAGGCTCCTGCATACTAAAGAACCATGCTGTGTATTTGTTACAATTCTGGTTCGTAGCTCAGCTTGTTTCAATTGGATTCGAAAGAACTGCAAGAATTGGATACAGGCTTTCTGTTTGCACTGCTCAACCCATTGATGTACATGTATTTGCAATGCATTCTATAAACGCTCTGGTTGTGTAAATAAATTGTTAACTTTGAGAAGCAATATGTATTTATTGAGCAGAGAAGTGTTTTTAACGCCCCCCTCCCTTTCTCGGGCATGAGCAAAGGTGAATAGTGCCCTCTTCTGGATAAATTTAGAACTGCAAGAGTCAGTATTTAATTTATGAAAACCGAACCAGAAATTAGTGTGCAGTTTAAAACCCCCAGTGCATCTGCAGTACGTCAGCCTGACATTTTCGTTTGAAAGAAAATAACCATAGAAAAAATGGCTGCTTCAGTAAACAGATCGTTGATGTAGTCATGACTGCAAATGTTACACCAAATAATTTGTTGCACTAGTCATACAAATAAACTCGTTAGCAAAGGATGTGTATCATGTCACAATTCACTGCTTGTATACGTTCTAATAAAATCTTGACACTTATTCGGTATTAAGCATTTTCTGCTCTGTAATGCTGTTCATCAATCACTTGGCTGGGCTGTAGTGTAGTTCTTAAACACATGTACAGAGGCATGAGGGTCCAGTGATCACACACTCACTCAAACAGGCAGTGTTATGAGTCCGAGCAGTTTGCAGATTGTACCATCCCTTTCAAAGGGGGTTTTCACCCATGATCTCAGTCGCAAAGCATTTGAGGTACCACTGCCTGACGATGCGTTAAAAACGAGCTGGTGTTCTGTCGTAATGTGAAAACAAAAAAAAAAAAAACCCTTGCCATCTGAGAACACAACACTGGGTTAAACCCTGCAACCATCGTACTTATTTCCTCATACTTCCATCGTGCAAAATAGATGTAGATTTTAAATACGTCAAAAGCATCTTTTTTTCTGAGGACTCTTCACCTGCAAGTGTTACAGTCACTAATTATTCATGATTGTATCTCCATATCACATCCATATGGTCATCCAGATCAAGGTTATTCAAAATAACAGGAATGCCCTTTTCCGTCATTAATACTGTTGCACACAAAGTCCTTTTCTATTGGAGCAGAAGTTGGTCATATTGGAACCACACCTCCACCAGTATCACTCTTCGGGCATGTACTCCACAGGTAAGCCCGTTTGCGGTGTGAGAAGTCCACAAAGACTCCTCCATGAATTAGTCTGAAGCACTTGCTCTCGTGATGGTGTGGCGGTCCTGCAAATGTCAAGTGTTAACAATTAGATGAGCATTAAACAAGTAATGCTAAATGACATGTTTTATCAAAGGAGAAGACATTTGCGCAGAGTTACCAGAGGTAGTAGATGTCAAAGAGTAATATTTTCTCTTTCAGTGTTCTGAATAATCCATTCAATAGCATCCCAACCCTAGAGAAAAAGAAGAGAAAGGACAAACGTCGTACGTGGTAAAGCCTAAGATGAAGTCAAGCAAAAGACCTTTACACAAAGAAAATTCATGCAATGATGTAAATATGTGTGAGTGTTACCTTCCTTGCATTAGCAGACATCCTCCTTGCCATCATGCCCTCCAGGTAGCTACTCAAGCTTGCTCCCTTCACTGTAATGATGGCCTCCTGTGTCAGGATGGTGCTGTGGGGCACAGGAAAGGTCAATCAAAAGAACAACTCCCCTCCCCCAAAAAATTATATACACAGTGATCCCTCGCTTAACACGGTTAATAGGGACCAGAACCCCCGCGAAAGAGGAAAATCCGCGAAGTAGGACCCCCCGTACAGGTATATGTACATGTGTTTGAGTATATAAAATATATATCAGGCCAAATTTAATGGTATACATGCATGTCGAAGTAAATGTTTGGAGTAATTAACGTACTTAATGCTAAATACTAATATATATATATATATATATATACACACACACACACACACACACACGTATAAGTTAGGTTAGGTTAGTGTATAAATAACAAAATACAGTAAACATAAACATGAAATACAGTATACATGTAGTACTGTATATGTTGCTCTATGTGACTCGGTGTTGTTTTGCTGACTTTTGCTGCCTCTCGCGGACCTTTTGCGGGATTTTCGCTTTTTTTTTTTTTTTTTTAATATCTTTGAAAAATCTGTGATGCACTGAAACCGCGATAAGTGAACCGCAAAGTAGCGAGGGATCACTGTATATAAAAGAAATAAACTTACACCTCAGGGTTGTCTGGGTGAGGTGTGTATCGGAGCTTCTCATTCACTGAGATCAGGTTGGTAAGAGTAATCTGCTGGACAAAGCAACACTCACTTAAATCTCAACACGTGGAATCATTTAAATTACAGTATTTCCTCCTGCATTTTACTGTAACAGATGTCATGCCCCAATTACTTGCCGGGTTCCATGTCCATTAGAACAAATAAGATCTGCATCTCAAAGTCAAGCTTTAGCACAACACAGAACACCACACAGAGCAGAGATTGCATCTGGATACCTGAAGTAGAGGAGGCCTTAAAAGAGATGGTGCTGATGTACATAGCGCTGCTCCATAATTCTAAAAGGCTTTCCCAACAGACCTTTTCAGAATGTTTGTAAACTATAGACGTAGACATAATACCCCAAAATGTTTACGTTTTTTTCTTTGATTTACACTAAAAAATGAAATCCAAATCAATCTGTGAATGAGGAAGAAAAACTGAGTGAATAAAATGATCTTAGGTCGGTATAATGATCATTTTGTACCGCTACCCTTGGCTGTATTAATGGTGGAGCGCTAATTGATCCCTGACAGCTGCAGTGGCGTTAGCCTGTTAGCTGAGGTGGACTCATGGCTGCCTGCCTATGGAGTCACAATTTTAGCGTCGCTAAATGTCGAAAAACTCCAACCAATAAATACTGCTGTATCTTGACAGGGACGAGTTTCACAAATTTGATGATAGTCCAGGCCTGAAGACATCTATGAACTTATTTTTCATTGTCGACCTCACAGTGCCGAGGTGCAGGGTTCGATTCCGGCTCCGGCCTTCCTGTGTGGGGTTTTGCATGTTCGTCCCGTGCCTGCATGGGTTTTCTCCGGGTCCTCCGGTTTCCTCCCACATTCCCAAAAAACATGCATGGCAAGTTAATGGAATATTCTAAATTCTCCCTCGGTGTGAGTGTGAGCACGGATGTTTATTCGTCTGTGTGTGCCCTGCGATTGGCTGGCAACCGGTTCAGGGTGTCTCCCGCCTACTGTCCGAAGACGGCTGGGATAGGCTCCGGCACGCCCTGTGACCCTTGTGAGAATAAGCTGATCGGAAAATGGATAGATGGACATTACGCTGTATAAGGTATACACTTTTCTTCTGACATTTTTGTTTGATTGTGTGCCATGAGGGCAGCATGGTGGACAACTGGTTAGCACATCTGCCTCAGAGTGCAGAGGTCTTGGCCTTCTTGTGTGGAGGTTGAATGTTCTCTTCATGCCTGTGTGGGTTTTCTCCTGGTACGACAAGTTCTGCCCACATTCCTAAAACATGCATGGTAGGTTAACTAAACTCCAAAATGTCCCTAGGTGTGTTGTGAGTGTGAATGGTTGTTAGTCTATGTGTGCCCTGAGATTGGCTGGCGACCAGTTCAGGATGTACCCAGCCGACTGCCCCAAGACACCTGGGATCGACTCCGGCATGCCTGCGATGTTCATCAGGATAAGCGGTTCAGAGGATGGATGGATGGATGCCATGACAATTTCTCATGTAAAACACAAGCCTTGCCTCAATAAAGTTGGGAAACACTGACAAAGTGCAAAGCTAACTGTGATTTGAACAATTTGGAATGACCTCCCACTGAACATTCGGCAAACCCCCTCACTGCCCATCTTTAAGACTCATCTCAAAACTCACTTGTAATTCTTTGGCTTTTGACTCGGCATGACTTAGACTTGATCTTACTTTTACTGTTTTTGTGCTTTCTAGTGTCTTTGTTATTAATTTATTGTTTATTGTTGTATATAAGATATTTGCTCCATGTACAGCACTTTATATACAGCAGTGGTTGTTTTAAAATGCTCTATAAACACAGTTGAGTTGGGTTGAGAATACACACAATTAAGGTAGAAGCGATTCAAGACATATTTAGACAACAATACAGATTTTCTGGAACTGGTCTCTGTAAAACCAAAATGGACCGGACCAGTGGCAAATATCATTGCTAACACCTGCGTCTTGATTTACTGATGAGTTACTGTTTAACTACATAAAAATGACTGATATTTATTTTAATGTGATAATTTCTCCGTTTTTAGTTGGCTGGGGCTTAGTTTTACTGGGTGACAGAGATGTGTGCCACACACTGTAAATTGGAGCAGTGACTCCCTGCAGTATGTATATTCCATTTCACATCATGGAGCCAAAACTATCATCTATTTGCAGTATAGTGACTGGAAGAACAATAAAATGCTCCTCCTACTAGATGGCAGGAGGGCCAATTAAATTGAGTATCCACCTATTGCCTGTCAGAAAACTGAGTAAAGAATCGTAATACAAGAATAGTTCTGTGTTCACCTAAACAGTCGTAGGTATTCTGACTGAGAAACTACTTTTGTGAGTAGATCGAGGAGAAAAAAAAAACATCCATATTTCTGTGAATAAACAGGTTGTTTTTGTTTGGTGTTGTGCCGTGAAATTTTTCAAATGTAATATATATGCCTTACTGTATGTCAATCAAGGTTGAAGAAATGGTTCTTTGCCCACTAAAGAGTTGAAATCTTCACAATGTTAGAGTAGAGCTCTTTTGCACATAAGTAGAGAGGTGATTTGAGGCAGTTTTGTCGCTGTGAGTCTGGATCGGCATCTTTCTATCTTTCTGCACCCATACACACAATTCTAGTTGAAAGATTGTCGAGTCACACATTGTCACATGGGCGAAGTAGAGCCGCCTTCCTGTGTGGGGGCGGCTCAGGTAGTACAGAAATAGGAAATATTTTGCACAGATTAGACCGCAGAAAAAGGCTCCGCGGCCACGTCTTGATCTTTCTGGCATCCATTAAATAGTTTAACTGAGAATATAGAGTCTTCTGGTAGTTACTGTTTGAGTCTTCTGGTAGTTACTGTTAGTACAATATTGCAAGCATCACGGATAAAAGGGCCAGGTGGAAGTTCCCTCAACACTTTTCAACAAGGCCAACGATCTTACATTTGTTGAGCACAGCTCCATCTTTTTCTCCTCAGGGTCGACTATGGAGTGCTCTTTCACGTATGTTTGCAGGTGGTTGGTTCCCAGTATCTACGAAAACAAGAACAAGAAATGACAACAAGCGCATGTCTCAGAGTAGCTGTAGCGTGAACAGAGCATCGTGATAGCGTGACCACTGACCGCTCGTACGATCGCCGGAAGGCCCCATTCCGTGCTGAGGAGTCGGTGACTGTGCAGGCGTCCTTCTGCATCCAGGCGGCGGTCCAGCACGTCCACACCCACCACGTGCGGATTCATGGGGTTAGGGTACTTTCTCATTGCGGCCTTGATCACCGTCTCCCATGGGTAACTTCACACAAGCAAGTACAACATGGAAACAAACGTTTCCTCAAACCTGCTTTAAACGTGGGCCACTTAAACTTTCTTTAAGGGAATGAGGTGAACGGGCCAGAGAGGTATTCATTTGACAATATGCTTACTGTTGTGATTGTACTTCGTTGGGCTGTTTCTACTTCGTAATATTTTGGTTACTTCAGCAAACCACATGATTGGGGCAGAATATTAGAAACGGTTCTCGGTGTGTTGCAGTGTGCATTCCATACCACAGACGTTATCCATTTGCTACAACAAGTGAGCTGGAGCGAATCGAGCTGACTCTATGGATGAGGGGTTCCCGCTTGACTGGTCACCCGCCAATCAAAGGGCATATGCAGTATAGATCAACATTCAAACTCACATTCACATTCATGGTTAATTCAGACACATACAGATGAAACGATCACTGGCACGCATACCTTTGAACAATTTGGAGTCCCTGGTTGACCAAACATGCATGTTTTTGAAATGTGCTCAGGAAACTGTAGTACCTGGAGAAAACCTACACAGGCATGGGAAGACAATGCAAAATCCTCGCCGGAAGTCCTGCGTCGCGATTCAAACAAAAATCGCACTGAGGTAAACGTGCTAATTTCTATACTCTACCAGTACACCATACGGCGCTAATAATAAACAACTGAGTTCAATCTGGCCAGTGAGTTTACTTTCAAATCCATTCAAATAAAACTGGACAAGTGGTCCTTTACTTTATGTTCTATTGTATGTTCAAATATCGTCGCTGTCCTGTGAAAAAACACCTATTTCCATTTTTGTCTTCTTTTACGTTAATGAAATGTCTGAAACGCGGACACCCCATTAACGTAGTTTTAAAAAAAATGACACAAATGGACGTGTATTTCGCATTTTGTTAGTTTACACAGATTTCATACGAATCTTATCAACCCTCACAGATCTTATAGCACCAGTGAGCGGTCTCTGTTTCACGAGGAATTCTTAAAAAAACCCAACAAAAACAGTACCTGAAAGCATGCTCTGTGCTCCAAATCTTCATGTTTTTTTTTTTTATTAACAAAAGTGACCTTGTTTCTTCAGAATACCCTCTTTGGCTTGACTGAGTTCAGCAGACCATATCACGCGACGGGTATGCTCAGCAAGTATACTGGGCCCTATGACCACCACCATCAGTTCAGTGCATCCAGATGCTCGTTTCCTTCCGAGCATCAACGGTGAAGAAGAAGAACAACTTGCAAACGGATCACTCCGTTCCTCAAGAGACGGGAACAGGAGGGAGAAGGCGCTACAATATGTGCTACAACGAGGAGGGAAACGAGGAGAAAAGCCGGCCCAGCGTTATTGCCATCCAACGTAAAGTTAGCCTGAGCGAGATGCTCAAGTCACGTTGGGATTTTCCAAATAAAACGTCTTGTGCCCCATACAAGTTTTGCCGTGAGACCCATTGATAATAATGCAGCACGATGTCGTGAATTTTACAGCAACAAACCCAGTGTCAATGCTTTCTACCTCACAGTTGTGAGGTGATGTGATGGTGTATGTGTAAAACACCTGTAGTTTATTTTGATAATTAAATAATTGTGTTATTTGTTGAAATAAAATTACAATTAAACCACAAATTGTTTTGTAAAATAAGTACGTTACATTTTTTATTTTCCTCATATGTTTTATTTTATTAACAATAAATAAACCTCTTTTGACGAACAAATAATAATGACCAAATGATTTCATACATTTTAGCGAAGTGATATTGGAGGAACATTTTTAGTTTTAATTAATGCAACAAATTTTACATTATTCCAAAAAATAAACACTCGGATTAAAAAACATGAACTGAAGTTTTCAATGAATCACAATCACAATGTGTTACTGTAGCACTGATTAAAGTCGCACGCACGCACGCACGCACGCACGCACGCACGCACGCACACACACACACACACACACACACACACACACACACACACACAGCGTGAAGTGTACTTTGGTAAGTATCCAACAATTTACTGTCTTTCGTGGTTGAAACACCACATTTAGACTTTGTGTTGGATCAATTGCGTCTGTGGCCTGCCTGTTCGGCATAGAAGAAACGCCCAATTTGATTTTGATGGCACAACAGCCGTATTTCCTGTTGTGCTTAGTTATGGGGGACGATGTCACCAAGGCACTTGTTCTGCATTCGCCTCCTTTTGTGCGCATGCTCAAAGCATCTTTCCACCATCCTCACACCGTATACTATGTCCGCGCCTCACGCAGCCAGCGTGAGCCGAATCAAGCGCCTCATAATAACAGATACACAGAAACCGGAAATCAGTGAATATTTGCAAAAATAAAATTATATAATACAGTATAGCTCTCTGTACGTTCATCTTTCAGATTATTACTTTATTTTGAAATGTGGATAGCATAGTTAAATAGTATGTTTTTCCATGTGTGAGGAGGTCACTAGACGAAACTGCTGCGAATGTTCAGGAGAATTGTTAGGCAAACCGACTGCAGAGGGAGGCTACAGCTGTACGCCACATTCATGCCATCGTCATTTAAGTCACCGCGGATGCTGAGCAAGTGATTCTCAAAAAAAAAATTGAAAGAGAAGAAAGTAAAAACGCTCAACGGCCGATTGGGAGGAGGGACCATTTTTACGTCGCATGACCTTGCATTGAATGTCATCATAGACGGATAAAAAAACAACACACAGAGGTAATGGGTATCCTTACTTGGGGAGAGGGTGAGATAGAATGACATTTTGTGTTATTCGTGTTGGACACCACGGTTATAACGACAGTTTTGATTTTGAAGCCGTTAATATCTTAACGGTTATAAGTCAGTAATTACAGAAACGTTCATGAGGTAAAGGCCCGAGTGCATGCCGCAGAGTGCAAATGTTCACTATCATATTACTTTCAGCGATATGCTTTATAATTATTGGAAAGTTGGGGTTTATTGGGAACCGTTGAAGCAGTAAGAGGCCGATGACGGATGCTGCAGCAAGATGCTGCCTGGGGTGTTAATGATGGGGTCATTGGGGTGGGTGTCACCTTAAGCACTTTGGATAATGGGTGGATGGATGAATCAGGCCAAGTGAATCTTCAATGTTGTCCATGTTCTTTCTTCTTCTCTTCCTCCCCCCTCCTCTTCCTTCCGTCCTCCTCCTCTTTCTCCTCCTGCTCAGGTCGCTTCTCCGCCTACTCCTCTTCCTACTCGTGTCTGCTGCCTGTGGTCATGTTCTATCCGAAAAAATGTGCTGACACACGCTCTGTCACGGCACATGCTCACCGCCTTTGTGCACATTCAAGCCTATAGAATAGATAGAGCATCCGCCGTGGTTGGCCCGTGGCCTGTCTGTGGCGTGGTCTGCTCACTAATCATTCAGAAGCAGACACACAGTTAGCAAGCATGATTTCCGGACCATACTGTATCAATATTAAGCCATTAAGTGCTTAGGATTCATGTTCCATATCTTTAGTTAAAAATTCCACCTTGCTCTGTTTTGTTTAATTTTAGGTCATCAGTCATGGAGATTGTCACACATCTTATTAATGACACCATACAATTCTACAAATGGACCTTAACCATCGCAGGTAATTATGAGGAGTTTTTGTCATATAATGCAAACGGAGAAAATTGTTGGTTTTCCATTAATCATAATCAATCGCTGATAATGTAGTGGTCTACTTGCCTGACTTGTGTTCGAGCAGTGTGGGATCGGTTCCCACTCACTGACAGTGTGAATGTAGGTGTGTATGGTTGTTCTCGACATGCCCTGCGACTGACTGGCGACCAATTCAGGGTGTAGTCCGCCTTTCGCCTTAAGTCAGTGGGGATAGGCTCCAGCAACCCCACGACACTGTTCAGAATAAGCGGTGTTGAAAATGGAACAATAATAATAACAATAATATTAATAATAATAATAGTGGTCAACTGGTTAGCATGTTGAAGCATATAGGATCTACATGTACCGTAATTCAGTCAGCAGTTACAGCAAATTTCATATGCAATTTTTATAAAAGTATTTTATATGGGGATGGCATGTTGGCCGACTGGTTCACACGTACGCCTCACAGTGCAGAGGTGGAGGGTTCGATTCCGGCTCTGGTCTTCCTATGTGGAGTTTGCATGTTTTCCCCTTGCCTGCGCGGGTTTTCTCCCGGTACTCCGGTTTCCTCCCACATTCCAAAAATATGTGTGGCAGGTTAATGGAACACTCTAAATCACGTGTCAAATTCAAGGCCTGGGGTCCAGATCCGGCCTGCCACATCATTTTCTGTAATCCACCCGAAAGAAAATCACGTGTGACCTTACATCACAGGTGTCAAGGCTAGTCCTCGAGGGCTGGTGTCCTGCATGTTTTCCATTATTTTATAATCTGAATTTAGAGTGTTTCTTTAAGATGCCAGGCATGTTTTTGGAATGTGTGAGGAAACCGGAATACCCAGAGAAAACCCACACAGGCATGGGGAGAACACCTCTGAACTGTGAGGCGGACATGCTAACCAGTTGGCTACCGTGCCGTCCTATATGTTATGCTGTTAAAATTATGGAGCGGATCTAAATTAAACAGGAAACTTCGAAGAATGAATTCCTTGGGAATACCACAGATGGCGATGAAGCAAAACGGTATGATCAGTCATCAAAAGTCGCACTGATATCGAGCAGAGCCAGAATAGAAACTTAATAATTGTCGGAATTGATTCTAAGATCGTTGACAACCCAGATAAAAGAAGTTTCTGTCCTGTGATTGATTTTAAAGGGACTATATTATGCAATTTCAACTTTTTTGATCTTTTAGCTATGTTAAGATTATAATTCCTCATCAAACGCACCCCAAAGTAGTGTTTTCCTCCACTGGCCCATCTCTGTGCATTCCTGCTCTATAAACATCACCTTCACCGTATAAATCGATGAAATGTTATTTCAGATTCATACCACACCTCACATTCGTACCACACGAGTGTAAAAAGTAGTTAACCAGTTTTAAGTAAATAACTGCTTCAAACAACAAGGCGTATGCTGAAATAGTTGTTAGGATTGCGTGACTGTTTTGTTATGTGTTCTGTTATATTATTTTGTTATTTTATGTTAACTGTTCTGTAAAGCGCTTTGTTACAGCTGCAGCTGTTGTGAAAGCGCAATATCAATAAAGATGTATTGTATCTACACCAAAAGACACCCCTATCTTTGATGCATATGGTAACACTAAGGTGTGTTTTGCTCTTGTAACTTCTGCTAATATTCCTGTTTTTGCCCTTCACACATTCATCTTCTGTTGATGCTGTTGCTTCTTCAGAATAATTGTCAACAAAAAGCCGAAGAAAGAAAAACACAGAGGCAGTCAACTCAACTCTCTACTCTCAACTCAACTGTATTTATAGAGCACTTTCTAACAGCCATCGCTGCATACAAAGTGCTGTACATGGAGCAACTATCATATATACAACAATAAAGCAATAAATCAGTAACAAGAACGGTCGAAAGGACCAAACAGTAAAACTAAGATCAAGTCTGAGTCATGCTGAGTAAATGCCAAAGAATACAAGTAAGTTTTGAGGCGGGTTTTAAAGATGGGCAGCGAGGGGGCTTGCTGAATGTTCAGTGGGAGGTCATTTCAGAGAGAGTAACCAGCAACGGAAAAGGCACAATCCCCTCTGAGCCTCCGTTTGGTTCTTGGTACTTCTAATAATGTCTGGTCCGCAGACCTGAGGCGCCGGGCAGGTGTGTCAGGGCGGATGGGCTCAGAGACATAAGGTGGCGTGAGGCCATTTAAAGATTTGAAAACAAATAATAGGATCTTAAAAAGAACTCTAAAATGTATAGGGAGCCAGTGAAGGGATGCCAGAGTAGGAGTTATGTGCTCCCTCTTATGAGTACCAGTCAAGAGGCGAGCAGCAGCATTTTGGACCAGCTGGAGACGCTTAATGAAGGATTGGCTGACTCGAAAGTCAAGTGCATTACAGTAATCGAGCCGGGATGTGACAAAGGCATGAATTACTGTCTCAAGTTGCTCATGAGAAAGGAGAGGTTTTACTTTTGCCAGCTGCCTCAGATGAAAGAAGCTGGATTTAACAACGACACCAATTTGCCGGTCAAATTTAAAATTCACTATCCAGTTTAAGACCCAAGTTTGAGACCGTTGACTTAAGATGAGGAGACAGGGGGCCCAAGTCTACAGGATGCGATGTACAAGGGCCACTGGGACCAAACAGTATCACTTCTGTCTTCTTCTCATTGAATTTAAAGAAATGTTGTGCCATCTAGGTTTTGATTTCCACCAGGCAGGATAAAAGTGGCCTTAATGATAAGATAAGATAAGATAAGATAAAATATCCTTTATTTGTCCCACAATGGGGAAATTTACAGTATCCAGCAGCAAAATTGGGGGGTAGAAAGAAGAAAAACAAAGTGTTTGCATTCGCAAAAATAAATGTTTCAGTTTCAATGTACACAGTTCAATTAAGTGCAATACAAATATAGATATAGATAAGGTGGCTGTGCTATTTACAATTGTTTTTGACAGTCATCTGCATAGCAGTGGAAGGAAATACCATGTTTCCTTAAGATGGAACCCAAGAGGAGCAGATACAGTGAGAACAGCAGAGGCCCCAGAATAGAGCCCTGTGGTACACCACATGACAGTGGAGCAATATGTGTCTCAGAGCAGCCAAGGCTGACACAAAAGGTTCTGTCAGCTAAATAGGACCTAAACCACTCAAGAGCGCTTCCGCCAATGCCCACCAACTGCTGCAAACGAGCCAACAGAATACTGTGATCCAATTTATCAAATGCTGCAGTTAAATCCAATAAAACCAGTCACACGTAGTTTCCAGTGTCATTTGCCAGGAGGATGTCATTAGAAACGCGTAACAGGGCTGACTCTGTGCTGTGCATCGTTTTGAAACCTGACTGGAAGACCTTCAAGATTTTATGTTCATCGAAGAAAGCACCACTTTTTCCAGATTTTTTTTAAATGGAAGGCAGGATGGAAATGGGGCTAAAATTTGACAGCACATCTTGATCAAGACCAGGTTTCTTGATCAAGGGTTGGACCACAGCATGTTTAAACTGTTGGGGAACTATACCAGAAGAGAGGCTGCTGTTGATAATGGCCAAGACCGATGTACCAATACTCGGGAGAACCTCCTTAAAGAACTGCGGGGGGAGAGAGTCACACGGGGAGCCAGATGGCTTAGTCTGGCGAACCACATCCTCTAAAAGAGTCAAGGACACAGCTTCAAAGGAATTTAACACAGCTGAACACGGAAGATGGACAGAGGGGTCAAATGTGGTATTTGAAACAGGAGTCCTAGCTGTAGAAACCTTATCAATGAAAAACTGAAGGAATCTGTTGCACATCTCGGATGAAGATTCCGAGCAAGTAGGCTGAGGGGTTTGAGTACAGAATCGATGGTTTTAAATAGTACACGTGGGTTGTGACGGTTAGCCTGAATAAGGTCCGATTAATATTCTCTTTTGGTCTCTTTTACTGTGATCTGGTAGTTACGCCAGCAGCCTTTCCAGATTTGGTAAGAGACCTGCAATTTGTCTTTTTTCCACTTGCATTCGGCTTTACGACACCTCTGCCTAGCTGCGCGAGTTTTGTCGTTAAACCAAGGCTCGGGTTAGGTTTTGGGAGCACAGTTTTTGAAGGAGCCACCGAATTCAGGATGACACGGCTTACTCGCTTAATATGCTGCGTCTATTAATTCAGAAAAAGTAGAGCACTCCGACTGAATCCCTTGATACTTGTTTCGCTGTAATTTGAGACAACTGAAATGACATACAACTTTACAGGCATATTTTTCCTGAAAATGTTGATCCATAATAGGATGTACAACATCGGGGGCATTTTGCCCTCTTGTCTGTATTTTTAGGTACTAGCCCAACTCACAACCTTAAAATAAAGCAGCACTTGTGTGTACAGTGGCCAGTTCAATATTCTAAATGTTTCTTGCAGACAAGCGAGTGGAGAAATGGCCCCTGATGGACAACCCCCTGCTCACTTTAGCCATCAGTGCATCCTACCTGTTGTTTCTCTGGCTGGGGCCCAAATATATGAAGAACAGGGAGCCCTTCCAGCTTCGCAAAACACTCATTGTCTACAACTTCAGTATGGTCTTCCTCAACTTCTTCATCTTCAAAGAGGTAAGGATACCTTTTTTTTTTAAAAAATATGCATTTAAGTCATCAGATTCCATCTCTGATGACAGATTTAGATAAGCCTCATTTGAGCGTATCCGTCTTTGTTTGGATGCTTTGCCTCCAGTCCCTGGAGTGTCTGTCTTTTTCTGTTAAGTCAACCAACTGAGAGGGACTCAGATAATATCTCAAATTTTGTTCCACTAGCTGTTTATGGCAGCCCGGGCAGCAAGCTACAGCTACATTTGTCAACGGGTGGACTACTCAGACGACCCCAATGAAGTCAGGGTGAGTGCAAGGAGCCAATCTGCAGAATTCTGTATAATGCAAGTGATGTCAAGCAATATATTTACCATGTTCTTTTATTGAACCAAATTTTTAAAGGGGTTCATGGAAGGGATACTCTAAAACAAGTACTCTTCACGCTAAAAATAACCGAACAATAAAAATGGGTAAAACAGGATGTGAAGTTTCAGTTATCTCTCTCCATGACGTAACAATACATGAAACAAAGAAGCCAAAGCGCAGGTGATATAGTTGTAGAACAATGTTGAACAATGCACACATGACAGACAGACCACAAGTAGACAGATCTGTAAAGTCACTCTTCTGGTTCATGTCAAAAACTTTTGATGGGGGTGAGGTACGGGCTTTCGGGTCTTTCCACACCAAAGTCATCCAGTCATACATTTTTGAGTCTTTCACTGTACCCCGCTCAGGTGGCAGGGGCATTGTGGTGGTATTTCATCTCCAAAGGCATCGAATACCTGGACACGGTGTTTTTCATCCTGAGGAAAAAGTTCAGCCAGGTCACCTTTCTGCACGTTTACCACCACTGCACCATGTTCACGCTCTGGTGGATCGGCATCAAATGGGTGGCAGGAGGACAGTGTGAGTAGCTCATGTTACAACAACACACGGCGGGCTTTTTCTTTTGCCCCATGTCCCTCGCCAGCATATTTAATTTGGATCTCAGTCTTGTTAAAACAAGAGAATAAGCCATGTCATTGCATAGTACCTAGTTTGGGTTTGTGCCTGCAAAAGCAAAAACTGATGACAATACATACGGTCGAGACTCATTGATCAATAGTTTGAACCTTTGACATATTTTCAGCATTTTTTGGTGCCCACATGAACGCCGCAATCCATGTGTTGATGTACCTCTACTATGGCCTGGCTTCCTGTGGTCCGAAGATCCAAAAGTACCTGTGGTGGAAGAAGTACCTGACCATTATCCAGATGGTAACATTCTTCGTTGCTACATGACCCAGATCTTTGTCGTATTTTTTTTTTTTTTTTAAACATCAGTGACTCAGATTTTGTGTTACACCAACTAGCATTTTTTAATTTAGATTTTTTTTGCTTTATATAGGGAAAAAAATATGCTCTATGCTGCACTGATCCATTGGATTTACTTTATTCAGACACGCACATTGGTTGCGGAAATCAAAATATATTAAGCTAATATATTTGAATATTTTGGAGAAAAAGAGTAGAAAATTAGGTGGTTGACCACATTTGAAATATGTGCAACTGAAAGTTAAGTAATTTTTTCCAGTGTGTAAAGGGTTGTAAATAATTCAAATTTGTACACAAATTTATATTTACAAAACAGGGGTTCCATTTGTCATTGAAAAGTGTTAAAACACGGACGGACAGTCATGCAATCTTAACCACTTATCCTGTGTGCGCTTTGTCTTTTGAAGTAGCTATAGATGAAAGAGGAGAGACTCAAAGTGTCCTTGAAAGTAAACAAGAAGCTGTATCATCCATTGACGAAAAAAAGTGATTGGTTCAGTCCATTGATGAAAAAAGAGATTGGTTCACTTCTCCTGTCCCATGTAAATGCGATTCAATTCCAAGTGGCGACTCTCAGTTACAAATACGCATCCGTCCTCCGCGCCAACGTTCCTCTCTCATCATACAGTCCTCGGCTCCAATAGCCATCCACTCAAACGCACCAGCACAGACTTTCCAAGCGCGCCGACATCTCTGCTGAACAAAACGGGGCTGTGAGAAATGCTGCCAATTACAGGTGCAAAAAACACAAGTGCCCTGGGGCTGTCCAGCGGCGACAGTCAAATAGCGCCAACATTCCTCCCAATGAAAATCAATGCTGGGACACGCGTTCTGCCGAGAAGGCGCAACCACCAAGCACAGATTCTTCTCTTTTGACGAATGTCGTGGCTAAAAACACTGAAAATGGTTCACATCGGGTCCACACGTTGTAACAACTAAAACACCATGTGATAAAACAAAAGCCAACCCCCCCCCAGAAAAAGCAAAGCTCTTGAAGAGCACTTGCCGATGGCTGCTAAATATGACGCCATCTTGGAAATGATCATTGGGTAAATTATTATTGGGTAAATGGTTTGAAGAGTTGCTGTGAACCATACACACAGACATACATCGCAGGTGTCCAACTCCGGTCCTCGGGTGCCGCTTAACTGCATGTTTTCCATCTCTCCCTGCTGCAACACACCTGGTTCAAATGATCAGCATCATTACCAGTCTCCTGCAGAGCTTGCTGATTAGATGATCATTTTTGTGCCTGACACTGTTTTTTCCTTATGAAAGGCCTGTGATCTCATGTTAATTGTAAATTAAGTTTTATTAATTGTAGTCATGAATCTGTAAATGTGTAATGCAATCTGACATTCTACATGTGTCTCAGATCCAGTTCCACGTCACCATCGGCCACACGGCTTTGTCCCTTTACGTCAACTGTGACTTCCCCCACTGGATGCACTACTCCCTCATTTGCTACGCCATCACCTTCATCGTCCTCTTTGGCAACTTCTACTACCAGACCTACCGCCGCCAGCAGCCCAGGCGCGACGCCTCCTCCTCCTCCAAGGTGGGCAGGGCCGTCTCGAACGGTGCCCTCAATGGACTCAGCAAGGCCGCCAACGGCGTGGCGGCGGGGAGCAAAGATGACAAACCCCAGGAAAACACTAGCAGGAGAAAGCGGAAAGGAAGAGCCAAAAGAGATTAGAGGAGGAGGGTGAAGTAAGCCAGATCTGCTTTGAGTTTATATCGTGTCAGCCTGCAGAAGACCTTATTTGAGGAATGATGGACGGGGTAAATGTGTGATGTGTTCATTTCAAGACGTGACGGAATGGCTTGTGTTGAGGGATTGTCGTTTAGCTAATAGGAGATGCTAAAGGTCATACAGAGGCCACTGTTATCACAAAGAGGCCAAAATATCCTCGTGTCAGATCCAAATCTTTCTTCTCTTTGCCAAGTGGTGCAGCCTTGGTCTGAGGGGAAATTAACATTCTCTTGAGGGTTTTGATGTTTTTTTGTTTTTAATGCACAAACAGTTATTCACACGTATAAAGCTGATCAATCGTTCTAAAGGCAATGATAGGTGATTTGCTAATGATAATGCAACCCTCACTCAACATGGCATAACTCATCATATCGTACATCATTTCAAAAGACATCTTTGGTGTTATTCACCATATACTGCAGTAAATATGGGGGAAACTACAGCATGTCAATATTCAGTGGCACGTAAAATCTGTTTTTTTTTTTTTTTAAATTCTTTTGAAGTTGGATGCGATTCTTCCATCACTTATGGAAGTTTCATAGTGATATAAACGTGTAAAATATTCTATTTCTGTTTGCATTGTACGTTTTGTATGTCCCTACTTGTGTGTAATGTGACAAAGTGAACCTGATAATGTTGATTTTAGGATGCTTGCCCTTGTCTCTATTTATCATCACTTTATCGCTTGTCTCATAGGCTGGTCTAAAAAGTTGTACACAAAGGGTCCTGTTCCTGTTTTAAGAAAGAGCTTATGACATAACATAAATCTCTTTTCATATTTTGATCAAATACATTGTTTTATTAAAGCGTTTACATTTACAGGCTTAGCCCATGTCTTCAGCTGGCTTGAATGTAAACAATCATAAAACAAAAATGTAAAAAAAAGACAATTGCACTATGCAGAATCAGTGAACCTCTACAGTGATTTTTGTATATGAACCACGAATGAAGAATAACTACTGTGCCTGTCGTACATCCAGTGTAAAGTGGCATTCCCCACATCCCCCATTTTGATTAATCGATACGTTTGTTTTATTTTTTTCATATTTTTCACTTTCCGTGTACATACTGATCTTTTTTTATTATCTCACTGAGAATGCTTGTCATGTATTTGTGTTATATATTATGTTGTGATCTTTTGTACTCTGCTCCCAGCTTGTTTGTTGGCTTGGAAATGTGGCCACCTTGCTTTTGTGTGTGTTTCTTTTTTTTTTTTTAAGTACAATATAAATTTGAACTCTTAAATTAAACTGAATGCTGGTTTCACAAAAAGAAGGAAAAGAAAGAAAGGAAAAAAATAATGGATTTCCATTGTATTACACAGGGGCGTCACTAGGTTTCAAGAACAAGGGGGGCTTAGCCCCAAGGGGAACACAGCCCCTTTAGGGGGGTCCGGGGGCATGCCCCCCCGGGAGAATTTTTTTCTACATTCTGTTAAAAATCCATCAATTCCGTGCACTTTGAGAGCAAAATGAAGAGGCTATGAAGAACTACACACATCACATTCGTATACTCTTTACTATGATGGGGCTTCCTCCCCTGGACTTTAACTGGACTAGATAATAGAAATTATAAAGAGTTCAAAAGTTCAATCTTGGTTGTTCAAGGGAATTAGAAGGATGCCCGATAACATAACCTATGTGACAGTAGGCCTATATTCCTCTCTACCAAAATGTATTAATATATGCTTAGCCCCCAGAAGACTATGTATTTTGAGATGTCTGCCGTGATATGCAATTTAAGTTAGTACAATGAGATGCAAAAGCTTCATCACTTTGGAAAAACACAAGTTTGCTACTCAATACTTACTGTAAGCTCCGATTGCATTTTGGGAACAGCCTTGCAAGTAAAATTAGCCTTGAGATCTGAGAG